AATATTCTGCAATACAGGGTATCTGGCATCATTGTCACACAACCATTTGATTACAGTCAAGTGGAGGAGAGGGTTCGCTGAAATATCTTAGTACTTCACCAGTAACGATATTCAGAGGGGTCTTGTGTGCCGCTTCAGTACCAGTAATGAACACATCTTCAAATAAGTTGTTTACTATAGAACCAGTTCCAGAACTGACAATACCAGAAGGTCCAGAATCTTGGGATGAAGATGACTGTGAAGTAGATGGCAGCAGATCTAAAGTTTAGAAGTGTGGCGGGACACAAAACAACTTCTGAATGATCACAGCATGTAGTTACAGACTGTGAATGTCATCGACCTCGGGAGTGATTTGGACTTAAGGTTCACTGCTGAACTAATTAAACTGTTCAATTTCAGGATCCTTATACCTTGATTTCATGTTCTTTTGGATAGTCACTTTTAACTATCTGATAAGTGATGACTCTGTACCAACCAATTTCATTGACTTCAAAATCTAGGACTTTCTGGGATCAATTAGGGAAACTGTTGGCTGTTGTCTTTCATATCTTCTAGAATAGAAAAGCATCAAAGCGATTTGTTATGTCCTTCTCTTTGAGGGTGTCAAGTTCCTTGACATTTCCCGTACATCTCCACTCATTAAAGAAGCAGCATTAGCAGGCTGCTGCTCCAGGTATCTAACCATCAAATCAGCTAATGATTCAGCATGTAGTAACAGAAATAATGAGTTTGTAGTGTGGAAGTTTCAAGAGAGCTTGATTGGCTTTTAGTAAACTGTTGGCCACTGATCTTCAGTGAAAAAAATGCCACAATCCTTTTCACTCGACTCAAAAGATTCTTCATTAATCCAACACTCTTTGAGTAGCAAGATTAACAGTATGGGCTAGACACTTTATGTTGGGGCCCAGTCCAGCAGCCCTTATTGTTGACATTGTCAGTCACAATAGGTTCCTGTCCATTAAATCTGGTCAACCCCAACAACAGCACCTTCGAGAATTGCACCCACATTGACAGCTGTATGAGATTCATGTACTTTCCTTGTTTGTAGCACATGGGTAGTGTGCCGTTATACTTATATAACTTTCTATTGCCTGTGATGGCCATCCACCAGTTGTTAGAGCTATGTAACTAGTACTTGAAAGTTCAAACAAAACATGCAATTTTGTTTCCTTGTGCGAGAGAAGGAATTTTTTTTTCACTGAATTATGGCAGGACTGGACTCTTATATTTCGGTTCCATTGTATTAACCATTGTTTGGAAATCTGCATTTTCTACAATTGAGTAAGGCTACATCCTCAAATTTTCCAATCAACTTTGTGATTGCAGTTGCTCTCTCACTACCAAAATGTAGTAGCTTAGGCAAAATGTCACTTAAGTTGTTTTTGTTGCTGTGATGAACCAAATTTTTCATTTAGATGCATTGTTCAGTATGATGTTGTTTGGGATGTATCATAAGATTTATAGTGGCGCCTGTGTAATTTATGAAGTAATCACAAAGTCTACAACCTCCTAAATTTTTGTTAACAATTTCTTTCCAATCCACTTTATCACAAGGAAACCAAAATGTCATCACACAAGTGACTTGAAATTGACAGGCGGTGAGGTCAGTTTTTCCATGGCCATATTGTTTGGAACCTCGTAAGTTTAGAGAGTGCACTTAGGGCAATAACTCATTCATATTTAGTAATTTAATCCATCAATATCATATTTATTTCAATTTCCATCATTCCTCCAAATTTTGGTATGCATAAGCTGTGCAAATGCACAGCCAGACAAAGACAAAGATTGTCTACAGACAGATGGGGGGTTTAATTTAATGAAAAAATCAAAGCAGAGAAAAAACGAAAAAAAAAAAAAAAAAATACTGATAGATTACTGATGAATAACAGTTACATTAAATCTGGTGGGGTGGAAACTTTCAAAAGAGACAAATACCATATGGTGTTTCCTCTACCGTTCAGTCAGAAGTATGCATATATAGCCTATAATTATGGTGCTCACTTTCCCTTGTAAATTGGCAATACATTGTCTATATCTGTTCTTGTCAACTTTTTGGAATTAACATAGGAGGGATATTAAGCAATCACTGGGTTCCTTCTCAACAAACTCCAGAGTGTAACACCTTTAAACAAACTGATCTTTTTTTTTTAATTAGGAACCGATGTCTACCATGGGGGCCATAAAAAGGGAGTTTTTTGTCCCCCTAAACAGGGAAAAGCTGAAAGTATTATCCCTCCACATTTTCATTCCAACACCAAAACTGAGCTATATTTATGTTATAAATTAAACATTTCCTGTCTTCTTCTCTTTAAAAATTTTTAATGTAACAACAATATATCTGTCTGACAAAGTTGCCACAAAAAAAAAAATCAAAATTCATGTGCGGGTTTTCCTGAGTTGGTTTGCACTGTTCTGGATTAATCCATTCATTGCTGGGACTCATGGTTTGGCAAGGAGAAGTTACACACACCAGGTGCTCTGTTACCATAACATCTGATAAGACTAGGGCCTCCCATTCATGTTTCCACTATAGACTGATCACTGGCTGGGGGAAATCTAGGCCACAAGGTAATCTGTTATGAAATGTAATACCTCTCCCCCACAACACCATCACACTGGCAGAATCACAAGGTGGTACAGTCCGAACCACAGGGTGGAAGAGTCACTAAAGTCATCATAGCATCAGGAGTACAGTCCGAATCACAGGGTGGTACAGTCACTCTAGTCATTACAACATCAGGGGTACAGTTCATACCACAGGGTGATACAGTCACTCGAGTCATTACAACATCAGGGGTACAGTTCATACCACAGGGTGATACAGTCACTCAAGTCATTACAACATCAGGGGTACAGTTCATACCACAGGGTGATACAGTCACTCCAGTCATCACAGCATCAGGTGTACAGTTCATACCACAGGGTGATACAGTCACTCGAGTCATCACAGCATCAGGTGTACAGTTCATACCACAGGGTGATACAGTCACTCGAGTCATCACAGCATCAGGTGTACAGTTCATACCACAGGGTGATACAGTCACTCCAGTCATCACAGCATCAGGTGTACAGTTCATACCACAGGGTGATACAGTCACTCCAGTCATCATAGCATCAGGTGTACAGTTCATACCACAGGGTGATACAGTCACTCGAGTCATCACAACATCAGGGAGTACAGCCCAAACCACAGGGTGGTACAGTCATATAAGTCATCACAACATCAGGGAGTACAGTCCAAACCAGAGTGGTAAAGTCACATTCTGGTCATCACAACATCAGGGAGTACAGTCCAAACCAGAGTGGTAATGTCACATTCTGGTCATCACAACATCAGGGAGTACAATCCAAACCACAGGGTGGTAAAGTCACATTCTGGTCATCACAACATCAGGGAGTACAGTCCAAACCACAGGGTGGTACAGTCACATTCTGGTCATCACAACATCAGGGAGTACAGTCCAAACCACAGGGTGGTACAGTCACATTCTGGTCATCACAACATCAGGGAGTACAGTCCAAACCACAGGGTGGTACAGTCACTATCATGCAATCAAGTAGTGTTAAAGACTTTCCTCTATTTCTCTTACTGGGCCCTGCTCCTTCCACACCAGATGGCCAAGACTTTATGTCTACACAAGAATGATTCCCCTTCACCCAAGAATGCTTTAAACTAAATTTGGGCATTATCAATCTATTAATACAGTAGGGGTAGGATTTTAAAGAACTTGCAAAATTTCCCCTATTGGGCTCTACTGTTCTGACCACTGGGGCTGAGAACCGCTGTTTATAGAAACTTGGTTCCTCTTTCCCTAAGGATTATTCAGGCCAAATTTGGTCAGGATTTGTTCAGTTGTTCATGACTAGTAGCTTTGTTTAGTAAAAACATTGAAGGACACTGGACTGACGGATGACAGATCAAGTTAAATTAAAATACAGCATCCAAACTGCAGCCCATTGACCAGGGAATTATCAACATGGTTGAAGCAAAAATTTAGGCAGTAGGCAGTAACAAAGATATGATATGCAATACGATGGACTGGCTTGTGAAGGCGTGGCATATTGTGTCAGCACATTCTTTCCAAAAATGCTTTGGGAAGGGGGTGTTTACTGCCAATTAACTGGAGAATGACAGCGACCCTGATGACAACATTCCTTTGACAGAATTACAACTTCTCTTGTCTAAAGACAATCCTATCACGGTAAAAGAATATCTTAATATTGACAGGAGAAACATCAGAAGAAATTAGAAATTACGGAGGCAAACATTATCATTCAGTGAAAGGACCAATAATTCATACAACAGAGGTGCTGCTGATGATGATAATGAAGACGGCAGCAACCAACAAACCTGTGTCATTGATTGCAAGGCCTGGGAATGTCTTGACAAATTAAAATCATTTGTGCAAAATCAAAGTGATGTTGACGCTTGTATTTTTAACTTGATTAGCGATCAGAACTTTCATGTATACAATATATTACTGTATGTATATCGAAGAAATTTACAGGGCTAAAATTAACGAAAACCACATGTGTGTTTGTAATCTAATATATTCTTGATGTTGCTTAAATGATTAAGTTATTACACAGTTTTATTTATTTTTGGATGTATCAAATACCAAATGTAAATGCATGCACGACAGCACATCAGAAATACCAATTCACTTAGTACATGAAGGACAAAAGTATTTGAGCAGTCTCCAGGAATTTGTCATAACTGGGCTGGACTGTGTATCCAAACCTGGTAATCTAAGACAGACCTTATTTTTGTTTAATAAATTGGCTCTGAATATTGTTGAAGACTTTTAAAACAAATGCAAATTATTATATATCATGGTAGTAATTCACTGCTTTTTAACCACAGTTAAGAAATAAGGTACATATTGTACCTGATGAAAAGACTGTCATTTTAAAGTATAATGTTCTGAAATACAAATGGTGCCTTTCTACAGGCAGATTTTTTTTCTGAACTAACAACAAAAAAGACAGAACATCCCTACCTGCTCCATTTTCTTTAACACCATTAGTGTCGTCAACTGTCAGCTCAGCGAAGCTCTCATCCAAACCTCCTCTATCCCCACGGAAAGTCAAAGACAGGCGACGCTTCAGCCTTTTGATCATATTGCGTACGTCAGAGCGGGGTCCTGGAGCAGGAGTGGACGCCGGTTGTGCCGGTCTAGTGGAGGTGGCGAATAGGTGGAATGGAGGGGTGGACACACATCGGTGGGGCGAGGTCTGTAGAAACAAAATATATTGATATATAATGCACACATTATGCTGTAATTGCAAAATATGAAATTGTTTCATACAAGACTTTAAACTCTGTTATTCTTGCCTTGTTTTAAAGTTGGGAATAGGCAGATTCTCTCAGCCGAAAACAGTGCTATTTCCCAAAAATGCAGAAAAAGAATCAAAACATCTTTCTAATTTTCTAGAAAACATTACTATAATTTCCAAATTTATAAAGGCAAAGGTTGCTATAAAATTCTGATAGAAAAGACACTTAAAAATTAACTTTAACATTGCATTTCCTTGGTGTGGGATTTACAGTCTATATAATTGACTATCTAAACAAACATGAGGTGTGCTACCACAGTATATTATGTTTCCCTGCCAGTCTGGCTCTGTTAAACCTACCACATTTTGTTATTGCTTGTATTGACATCAGTTGTATATTTTCTGTCTTAAAGATGTTACTTATTACCACAAGTATAATCCCATCGAAAAGGAACCGCTAATTTAACAGCACATGCTTTCTGTCTTTAATTGCTTTAATCACAAAGTCATTTTGCTCACTCTTGTAAAATCTTGCATCAATATTGTTTGCACCACAGTAGTATACATGTATAGGTGTAAATATGTATTAAATCTTCTTGTCCTGTTTTGTACCCTGCATGTAGTTCTTTTCATAACATAATTTGATTCAATTCTAGATGCACTCTCCCCTCATTCCCCCTTCCTTTCCTTATTTTCTTCTCCTCTTCTATTTGTTTTTCATCATTCTTTTGTCACTTTTCCATCATAATGTAACAGTACAACCCAACAATTGACAACAATAAGTACCAAATACTTATTTTTTACTGCAAAAATACAAATAAAACTAATATTTATATTCCAATTGTATAACACTTAAATAACATACTAGTATAAGTAAAAGTGAAGAACACTTCCCATAAAAAATCAAAAGTGACACAAAATTTCAACAAAGAGCAATAATTCTGTAATAAACGGGTTTCGGGCCCTAAATTTGGTCTGCTGCACATCCCCTTAATTTGACCAATGTATACACCAAGTTCCATTATCCTATATTACATGAAAGCAAAGTTATGCTCTTGACATAAAAGGACAAACAGATGGACAAGCAACTAATATTTGCTCCCCCGAAAATATTCAGGGAGAATGGCAAACTACAACATGTACATGTCTGTGTTACAAAGCCATCCTGAAGCAATTCCAATTTTTCTGTCACTTTGTATCTGGAATCAATAGTGTTGCTATGTAAAATTCAAACTTATACAAGAAATTCCCAATTGTTTTCCAACTGATGACTGCCATTTCTCAGAACTGGTAAACCAAATGAAACAAATTTCTTTCACAAGAAAGATTTTTTTTATCCATTTGGTGTCATGAGATAATTTCTATTAATGTCTTAAGAAAAAACATTTTCAGTATTGAAAAGCAACCTTATTGAAACTTATTTTTACCACCCAGTGAAAATGGACCCTGTTGAGAAGTGAACCCAATGTCTCTACGGTTCCTGTAGAAATAGTTTAGAACCTTCAATCATATATTACTGATTAAATGTAGATATAAGACATGCGTCCATAATTGATCTAGGGTTCCTCCACAGCCCTTATGATCTGAACCTGTGGGTCATCCCTAGTCTCTGAGGTTTTGGCAAGAAAGTCAACTTGTGGAAACAGTTAAGATCCCTATCATATAACTCACTCATGACAAAAGAATTGACCCTGCTGTCATCCAAACTCCCTAGGGTCTTAGCTCTGGGGTCAACAAGTAAAAACAGATGATATCCCCACCCTATAACTACATATACCATTGTTAATTTTGCAAATTAAAAAGTTACACATATATGCCAAAGGTCGAAATGTAGGTCACCAAAGGTCATAGGTCAAACAAGTCATTAATATCAATTAATATTGCATACTTTTCCTTTGCATGTCATTACAATGGAAAGTTATGTCAAAGGTCAATATACAGGTCATTAAAAGCAACATGTCAAATAAGTTATCAATATCAATCGATATTGTATGGTTTTCCTTTGGATATCTTATTACAATGCAAACTTATGTCAAAGGTCAACATACAGGTCATCACAGGTCACTGGTCAAACAAGTCATTCATATCAATCAATATAGTATACTTTTCTTTTGCACATCTTATATTGTAAAGTCAAAGGATCCCATGTACATTTACTGCTTAAACAGGCAGTTACACAATAAAATGACCTGGATATATTGCTTGTTGAAAAAGGAATTGTAAGATCTCAACATATCTAACCCAAGAGACCTGTAAGGTACATAAAGTACATTACCATATTTGAGCAATAATTAGCAAAATGATATCTTAGCACTGTAGTTTCAGCACAAAAGAATGCTGAAACAAGATCACTACTAACATGTATAGAATTCAAATCAAGACCCTCTTTGAGAATCATTCCTAGCAAGTTTCAACTGAACCAGTGGAACTCAGGAGAAAGTGTTTATATGTCAAAAGTTTATGGCAGACAGCAAATGACAATTGATGAAGCAAAGGTCAGAGGGCTTATACTATACGCATGTAAGACATGGCCATCAGATATTATTCTCCATTACCCCGACTGTTAAAATTAACATACAATTTGTATAATTACTAAGATAGTCACTGACTATATAGCTGGTAACCAATGTAAACAGAACAAGTGAGAATATCTAATTGGCCTATATTGTCAATATAATATATACATTAAAACATATCCCACTATTATATGTACCTTGTAGTAGTGTCAACAAGCCCAAGGGGCCTGCATCGCTCACATGGAAATCAGTGCCTTTCACACATACATTATAACATTTCATATCTCTGACATTCAAAGTCTTGGTTAATTTAATAGGGGAAGTCATTGGAATGTTTCAACAATTTGACCCATGTAACCTTCAGCATGGGCCGAAGTCAAGGTCAAACATTGTTGGGCTTCAAACTAGTAACCTGCCGATCGATTATTATTCTACAGACCATTAATTGTTTAACCTTTCCACTCAAATGCTAATGAACGGAAAATGATTGAGCAAAAGCAAACAATCACTAACACAAATGCAAAATGGTTGATGATAACCAAAAAAGGTAAACGCAAAACGGAAAACAATAACGTAAAACGGACAACACAAAACTAATTAGGATAGACCTGTAATAGATCAACAAATTATATAATTATGAAGCTGGATCTGTATGATGCTATGCACATATTGTATACATGTGGGACTGTGCAATCATGTTTATACACCTTCCATACAATTTGTTTTGCTAGGAATGATACACAGATCTATGCAGTAGTAATTAGTATAATGTTGTAATAAGATAGTCATTTTGTTGTTCTCCCTGTGGAAAAGACTTTCCTGTTGTTTACTCTAATATGTAAGGAAGTACCTTTTCTTCAACCCCAAGAAAAAGAGGTTTCACACTTTACACTTCAAGTTTAAATAAAGATCTTTACAAACACATTGCAATAACATATAAATTCCTCTAGCAGTGTTAGTACTGTAATATCATTTTTCATTCCAACTGTGTAAAAGTGGATGTAGATTGACATTGGTTACTGTTAGATACCTTCTCATTTCTGTTAAAATGGACAATTGACAATTTGTGATAATATCGAAATAAGGATAAATCTAAAGGAGGCCAAACAGGCCTAAATTGCTTAACTACTTTATAGCTTAAAAAACTTTTCTAAAAAGTTGAAATCCTACATTTGTACATGCCACTAATATGCATCATCACTTCGGTCAACATTCCTTGTTGAAAAAGAAATTTTAAGATCTTAATTCATTTGACCCAAGAGACCTTGAAAGTAGGTCAAAGTCAACCATTTGAATAAATTTGGTAGCTCTTTATCCAATTTTGTCAAAGAGCACAAAGAAATGGTCTTTTTAGTCTACAGACTGATGTGGTTTTTCAGTGTATAGACAAGTGGCCTTAAGATAAAGGCAGTCTTTCAGTTTATAAACAAGTGGCCTTAATAAAGATGTGATCTTGATAAAGAAGTGGTCATTAAGTTTATAGACAGGTGGCCTCTATATAAAGGTGGTCTTTAAATTTCTAGACAGGTGTCCTCTATATAGAGGTGGTCTTTAAGTTTCTAGACCGGTGGCCTCTATATAGAGGTGGTCTTAAAGTTTCTAGACAGGTGGTCTCTATATAGAGGTGGTCTTGAAGTTTCTAGACAGGTGGCCTCTATATAGAGGTTGTCTTTAAGTTTATAGACAGGTGGCCTCTATATTGATGTGGTCTTTAAGTTTATAGATAGGCACCCTTAACATAGATGTGGCCTATATATAGAGGTGGTCTTCAAGTTTCTAGACAGGTGTCCTCTATATAGATTGATTAAGAACTTTGATTTAGATACATTCTTTTGTTATGTATCATGTTCTGTTGTTGATATCCCAAGATTACTTACAATTGTTTTACTTTCTAGTTAAAAAAATCAATTCTAGATCAACATTTCTATGGCTAATGATAATATAGTAATGATAAACATATGTTTTCATCAAATTATCATCATACATAAAGTTTTCAGTTTGCACTGTCCCTCAACAATATTTCACATTTTGTACATTACTAAGATTTAAAACAACTGTTATTTATATACTAGGTACTGTTTAAACAGTGAACAGACTAGTGTATTTATAATCTATTGTTTGTTTATAACACATTACATCCTGCTAGTAAATTCTTATCCTAATTGACAGAAAATCTCCTATATTTCTATTCTTAAAGTCTTTTTCTATAAAAATCTATTAGAAACCCTAATTAATCTTTAAATCATGTGTTGCTCACCTAAAAGTCTTGTCACAATTGGTTGCCTAGGTAATGTATTGATAGGTCATTTTGCACAGTATTACTCATCAGACCATTTTATTGATTTAGGCACATATTGTAATCAATAAACAAACCACATCACCAATTTCTCCACAGGCTTGATTCATGTTCCCTAACAGAGTACCAGGTAATGACAAGGTATA